TTTGCTATTTGTACACTCTGTGACTATACAAATCACATAATGTAAATAGGAAAAGGTTTGCATTATTTTGTCACTTATTTGGGATTAGTATGCTGCTGCAACCATTTACATCCAGTCTTTGTGCTAAGCTAGGCTAGCGGTGGGTGCGTCAGACAGAGTTACAGCACACACAGAGATGAAAAAGGTATGTATGGACTTATCTAACTCTGGGGGATATGCTGAATAAGCCAAAGTCCCAAAAAGTCGGAGTGTTCCTTGAAGGTCGACATATTGTTACGTCATGTTTCTAGCGTAGCCGACAGCGAACAAAAAGCGCTTTCAAGGTATGAACATTTCGTTCATACCTTGAAAGAGAAGCCGTAGAAAGCTAGAAGCTAGCCATAGACACTGTGGGTAGTGACTTTTCCCTTGTCAGTGGTGTCCCAAAAAGTCGGAGTGTTCCTTTCATAGACGCGGTTATGTAGATATAAATGTCTCATCCTAAGGTACTAAAAATATAACGGTTCATTGAATAAGGTCTTTATACACCACTGAACACATAGTTATGAATCTTATATTGCATTTCTGTCAATAGATCCTCAGAAATATTACAAATTGCACCTTTAAGTTTAAAGACGTGCTCCAAAAAAAAAGTTCACGGTGACTGAGAGCCAGAAAGCACAACCTGTAGCCTGTAATGTTTCTTTATTTCTTGTGAAAAAAAAAGCACAATGTTTTGTTTCGCTTGTAAGTGGACACATAAAAAGTAGACATTTAACAGTCTGAATTTCTGTATGACCATAAATGACAGAGTATTTTAAGTCTATTTGGCTGCTAAAAAAAAGAGCAAATTGAGCAAAACGCGAAAACCCAGAGGGTTAAGAGAAAAGGAACAAACCTTTTAAACCATGCGCCTGGCGCCGACCATTTTTCCTGTTGTTAAATTAGCAAAAGTGGATTCGAACATGCCCTAACTGTACTTGCGCAGTGCGCTTTAGACATGCGGTTAGATCATTAAATTAGGGCCCATAGTCCGTAATGGGTAACACTTTATTTGAAGGTGTGTGCATAAGACTGACATGACACTGTCACAAACATGACATAACACCTGTCATGAACATGAAGGAGTCTTTATGAATCTTTATGACTGTTGTCATTAAGTGTCATTCTGTAAATTATGACACTTTTAATGCAAAGTTGACATTGTTTAAAATGTCTTTGTTATGACAACTTGACATTAACCAAGACAAAAATGTCTTGATTATGACAACTTGACATTAACAAAGACAGAAATGTCTTGATTATGAAAACTTGACATTAACAAAGACAGAAATGTCTTTGTTATGACAACTTGACATTAACCAAGAAATCATAACTAGTCCAACGTGTTCCACTTTACTTGAGGTAAGGGGAAATATTAATGACACTGTTGTTAAAGCATTTGACAGTGCAATAACCCTTAATGACACCTTTATAATTAGTACAATGTGTTCCACTTTACTTGAGGACAAATAAAATATTCATGTCACACTTATATTGGTGTCATGACAACCAAAGTTAAAACCAACCATAACATATGATAGGGTAATGTTAACACAAAGATAAATAACTTCTTTAAGTTTGATAATTAGACCTGTTATGACATATTTGTGACAGGTTATGATTTCTTGGTTAATGTCAAGTTGTCATAACAAAGACATTTTTGTCTTGGTTAAAGGGTACCTATTATGGAAAATTCACTTTTACATGGTGTTTGAACATAAATGTGTGTTGGCAGTGTGTGAGCAAAACCACCCTAGAATGATAAAAATCCACCCAGTGGATCTCAATAAATCATATGCACTGCCTCAGAACGAGCTGTTCTGAGATCCAGCTCTTTGTGACGTAGAAAGTGAGAAAGGAGTTTGATTGACAGTGTGGTTGTGGCATAGACCCCGCCCTCGGTGATCTGTACATCCTCCATTGTTTCAACGACAGCCGGTAATGTCTCTTGGAAACATAAATGTTCTGTCGTAGACTCGTGGGTTAATCCTGTTGTTGTAGCTTAACAGTTAATCCTCAACTGTGGATCGTCATCTACTGTTTGCGATCCACCGTCACCTCCAGTAACAGTAAGTGCATTTTATGATTTTTGAGCAAATAGTCTTTTCAGTCAATGTCAGCCAATTCAACAACAAATGCGTCTAAAGTTGTTGTCGTCGTAGGATGTCTGTGTAGGCTATATAATTTAAACCTTGTTTGTATAGTGTGTAACCACACGTTTATATATATTTAAAGATATTGTATTAAAAACTGCATATATGTTGTTGTTCTGTAAGTTAGCCATCTCCTTACATTTGCCACAGAAGCACCTGTATGACAAGTAAGCATGACGCCACAGGTCCCTCACATAAATGTAATTTCGCTTGTAGTAGCAAACTTCACAGTATGTGTATGTAATTTCAGAAAAATTGCGCCAGTATTAGTGTTTGTGTGTGTGTGTCTGTGTGTGCGTGTTGCACATGCCATCATTTCAAAGGGGAATGATGAAGACGAATGAAAAGTACATAAATGTATCAAATAACCATACCGAGACGTACTGGTCCATTCTTATTTGTGTTTATTCTCCCGGAGTCTCTTCGTACTATTTATATATTCCGATTCAAACGTTTGCTGAATGACCAGTCCCTCCAGAAAAACACGATTATGCGATCACTGAATTCAACGCAAAATCAGCCAAAGTCCGCATATTTTTGCGGGGGCCACATTTTTTCAAATACGCCACACTTTCGCCGCATAAATTGCCGATTTCCGTGCAAAATATGCGGGGTTTGCATGATTTCATAATCCTCGCATTTTCGTTGCAAAAAAAGTCACATATCTTAGCAGAAAGTTGAAAAATGTTGCGTTTGCTTCACACAAGAGCAGCCATTTCCCCCCGTTTCCATGGGAACGTTATGAAGTGACGCAATTACGCGACGGGATAAATCACAGCTGAAGTTATTGCAGAGGCCAGACAGACTCACGGAGGCGATTGACATCTCACAAATCTAACTCGTATAACTGTCTGTTACATGTTCTACCGTCACATCGTTACTTAATAAACAACATAAGATAAAAGAAGAAGCATCAAACAGAAATTACCCGCACACATGGGGTGTTCGAGGCACACACAGTTCAACAGGGAGCGCGCAGCTCTTAAAGGGGCCACACCTTATTTTCACTCGTTACAGTCTGAAATAAAACATTGCTGTTTTTGTAATTTTGAAAGAGAGTCTATTGTGCACTTATTCTTTGAATGATCCTAATCTTCAATCTTTTGGAATGAGATCTAGGTTTTCTAGGTTTTAAAATGAATTGCAACCTTGTCTTAAATTTGTCATCTGTCTTACTTCATATGATTTTGAGAAAAATGTATGTTATCGAATTGTTTCTATTATTAGGAAAATGTCATATTCATCAAACTAAGTGTAGTAACTCAAAACCCAACTTTGCTAATTTCAAAACAGCCTTTAAAATGTATTTTGAGTCTGTAAAATGTAAAAAAAAAATCGAAAAGCCCAAAGATCTGTATCTCTGCTAAAGGAATTTAATATATGTCTGTGATCCCCTCTATCTTTATTTTTTTTCTTTCTTTCTTTCCCCAAATTATTGTTGTCTCAAATTTTACTTATCAGATGTTATACTTATCAGAAAATGTGTAAAAGAAATGTCAAGAACTTGATATCAAAATTCAATAGGCCTAAATATAAAACAAGATGAGAAATTAAATATTCCCAGCACTTTCTATGATGTAGTATGCTTGCTTACCAAATGAAGTAATAAGAAATGACTCTTTACATTAAGGTAGTAGCCTTGTAAGAACAGGGTGTTGGGGGAATCACTTTTTTTCTCTTTTTCATCAAACCGCAGTTTTTGCAAGTTCCCACAATTTTTGCAAGTTCCCGCAATTTTTGCAAGTTCCCGCAATTTCATCGCATAAAATTGCATAAATGTCCCGCATATTTCATCGCATTTTTAAAGAAAACGGGCCGCGTAATCAAGGATTTTTGCCCGCAACAATCACAAAAAAACTCAGCGTTTTTCTGGAAGGACTGAATGACATTCAAAACAGCGGTCTCTTTCAGTCTCTCAGTACCGACTTCCATTGGTATCAAGTTACACCCTCATCCAAAGGCAGGGCGGGGATGTGCAGCTCATCTGCATTTAAAGCCGTATACCCCCCGAAACAGCTCATTTTTAAGCAGGCCCCAAAATGACATTTTCAAATGGTTATAATAAATTAACTGTGGGGTATTTTGAGCTGAAACTTCACAAATACATTCTAGGGACACCAGAGACCAATATTACATCTTGTAAAAAGGGGCATAATAGGTGCTCTTTAATGTCAAGTTGTCATAACAAAGACATTTTTTGTCTTTGTTAATGTCAAGTTGTCATAACAAATACATTTTTGTCTTTGTTAATGTCAAGTTGTCATAACAAAGACATTTTAAACAATGTCAACTTTGCATTAAAAGTGTCATAATTTACCGAATGACACTTAATGACAACAGTCATAAACATTCATAAAGACTACTTCATGTTCATGACCGGTGTTATGTCATGTTTATGACAGTGTCATGTCAGTCTTATGCACACCCCTTCAAATAACGTGTTACCCTGTAATGAAATGGCATTACAGACTATGGGCTGAGATGGCACATTTGGACGGGACTTCAATCACTGAGAAGACCTCTCCAAGTTAAACTAATCCTGTCCGAAAAGGGTTTAGGAGTGTAAGTCTCCTTTCTTCACCTTCCGCTCCACTTACCACGCCTTTTTCCAAACTGGTGAGAACTAGACAGCTCTGAAATAGGGCATTTCATGACCCTTTAATTGGTCGACCACATGGTGAAAGGTGAAAAATAGGTGAACAAACTCTTACTAGTTACTTTATGTATTCACCTTTTGAATTGCAATACCATACCAAATAGATTTCCCTTTATTAACCAGTAAATAAATGTAGACCCACACTTAAAATTTTATGCAAGGCCTCTTACCCTTTTAGTTCATCAGCAATGCACATGCCAAACTGTTTGGTTCCCGTTTCCATAGATCTGCGTATCATTAGCCTGTATCGAGGCTCAAAAACATGCAGTGGGCAGGGAATGGTGGGAAATGCCATGGTGCAAACAAAGATGGGCACTTCCTGGTTCAAGCTGAAACAAGAAGAAAGTGCAATACCCGAAATAGATGATACCAATGTCCTGGCAAGCAATGGAGAACAATTACAATATAGATAACAAATAGCTTTGTGATAAATCATTAATTGTTCATGGTATAACAAAGATAACAGCTTTTCAGAAGTGGTCAAAACCTAGGTGTGAATGCGTGAAAGTGAGTGTGTAGACATGTTACAGCAAAGGTCAGAAAAGTGTTAGGAAAAGCACTATATCCAAAGCCAACTTACTTTGACAGTTCTTTCATCTCTTCTTCATGTACTTTTCGCCTTTCTGCCAACTCGTCATAAAAGTAGCGCTGCAATACTTCTTCTATTAGAAGAGTTATGTTGTCCGCTCTAGTGGCCAGATACTGTAGAAATGAAAGATATGTGCACTTTGGATAAGAAAGTATCTCCTAAATGACTAATCTCACTAAACTGAATAAGTCAATTAAAACAAAACAATGATACATTTATGCTGAAATGGGTGAAAACATTTCATTGAGGAGAAAATAAAATGTTATTCATACAGATCAGGTCTGTATAGTAAAATTATTAAATGCTAAAACAACTTCATTATTTGTAAGTGTGTGATAACATACTCGGTTACATACGTAACCTCGGTTCTCTCTAGAAGAGGGAACGAGTATTGCGTGACTTGTCGCCTCACATATGTCTTGAATGGAAATTCCGCTGGACTAAGCCCACGACGAGGCCACGCCTCTGGTGGAATGCGCCCTGATGCCCAAGGGACATTGCAGACCTTTACACCTATAAGCAGATGTGATAGCTTCCACTATCCATCTGGACAGGCTCTGTTTTGAGGCGGTGAGACCCTTGGTGCACCCATCAAATGAAACAAAGAGCTGCTCCGAACACCTGAAAGAAGCGTAATGTAGGCCCTCAGCGCCCTGATAGGGCAGAGATGGTTAATATCGCCCTCACTATAGGATGCTATATAATCACTATAGGATCACTTGAGGATGACTTGAGTCATTTGGCCCAAACTCAAGACATGCTGCGCTAACAGCGCATGTAAATTCCCTATGCATTTAACTGATGACAGAGCTGTCAGAAAAACGGCTTTGAACGAGAGGTACTTTAGGTCCATGGAGTCCATTAGTTCAAAGGGGAAAGCTTTCAGTGCCTCTAGGACCAAAGAAAGATCCCATATGGGAACCGACGAGGGTCGCGGGGGTTCATCCTTCTGGCTCCTGTAAGGAAGCAGATGACGAGCTTGTTTCTTCCTATTGACTGACCGCGCGTCGACTCAATGAACGCTGCAACGGCCGCCACATATACTTAAAGCGTGGATGGGGACCTGACCTTATCCAGCAGCTCTTGAAGGAAGCCAAGCAACCACAGGACCCCACATATTTGTGGGTCCAGATCTCTATCAGCACACCAATTGGAGAACACTGACCTTTTAAATGCGTAAAGCCGCCTCGTAAAGGGAGCTCTGAATTGCGTGATCGTGTTCATCACTCCTTCTTTCTGGACAACGAGTATCTGTTGATTACCCATACCTGCAGAGACCAGCGCTCTGGATGGGGATGCCAGATTGAGCCGCGGGCTTGAGAGAGGAAATCTCTCCTCACCGGAATCGGCCAATTGGCTTTGTGTAACAGCTGCATCAGTTCCGGGAACCAGATTTGATTCTCCCATCACGGGGCAATAAGGAGCACCATGTGGCGCATTTCCCTGATCTTCTTGATTACCTGTGGTAACAAAGAGACCAGAGGGAAAGCATAAAGAGGGGGGCTGGGCCAGGTTTGGGCCAATGCATCCTCGTACTTTGATTAGTATGACTAGCATGATTAGCATGTTGCTAGTATCATGCTAGCATGATTAACATGTTGCTTGCATGTTTTTAGCTAGATGCTAACATGATTAGCTTTTCTAGGCAGTTGCCAGGGTGGTTGCTATGGTGTTCTGGGTGGTTGCTATGGTGTCACTAGGTGGTTGGTAGTTGTGATATGGTTACTAATGGAGTTTTTAGCATTTTCTTGGCATGATTTAACACTTATCTAATCACTGTTAGCATGAAGCTATTCACAGCTAGCATTTGTAACATGTTGGAAGTCCTGTTTGCTAGCATGAGTCAAAAGAGCCAACCCCCATCTCTATACGATGTTCTGATGCAGATATATAAATCTTGCTTAATGGTTGCTAGGGTACTATGTATAGTTGCTAGGAAGTGGCTTGGCAGCTGCCAATGATGAATCTCCAATGGCTGCTTGTCATTATGAATGATATAAATCAACTTTTATGAATTTCATGAAAATATCCCTCTTTAGAATTTGGTTGCTAAGGTGCTCGATAATGGTTGCTAAGGCATGGCCAGAAATTGTTGAGGGGATTCATGATTGGCTGTTTGCTACCCTGAGTCAAACGAGACCACCCTCGCGTTTCTATGACACTTCTATCCGGAAATATCCCTTTAATCTCTTTCAATGGAAGTCTATGGAACTTGTTGCTAAGGTGCTCAAAATGGTTGCAAGGGCTGTGACTTAATAGCTTCACAATGATCCTGAGAGACTGATTGGTCATCTGAGTAAAATGAGCCCGCCCCCCTGTCTCTATGTCACTGTGATTCAGAGCTATGTTCAATACAAAATCCCTATGCAATTTACCATAGTAGGAAAAACACATGCATTTGTGCATGAGTATCTTAATCGTGTTACTTTCTACCAGGTGTCGGACACTTTCGGTTAGATCACAACACTAGAGTCAGAGAACTATAATTGTTCTTCACGCACACAGTAACTGAAATTTAAAACCGTTAAAAGAAAAGGCTCAATAAACTATTGCATAGACAGATAATGTATAATACACTGTCCATAAATATGTATTTCCTTTGTGCTTTGAACTTTTCAATGCAGACTTGACGCGCTGTAACTCCATGTGGCTTCAAGCACATCATTCTCCGCTTGGGATGCACATAAGCGCTTTGTGCTGCACTGTATTGGAGCCTTTAATATCATAATGCAGTAACACAATGACCGATTATTAACTGTCTTTCTTGTTCTGTCCTATCAATTATATGTTGCTGCCTCATTAAACATCTGTGCTATACATTTAAAACATGTTTTAAAATATGGGTCAATTTTATAGTAGCCAGGGCTATATCTAAAATAATTGATCTTTTTGATTTTTGTTATCTTGTTTTTCATGAATGTATTTTTCAACAATACAAAAAGCAATGTGTATTATGCAGCACTAATATAGTTTCTAATAGAATTTTTGTCATAGATTATGACGAAATAATCATATGATTCACCAGTGAGGAACCAACACAAAAGAGTGAACATTCATTCTGTTTAGTTCAGTCCTACTTAATAAGAATTTATTTGAAATGCTTGCTCTACTCCACACCATTAATGTCTTGTGCGGGCATCCGTATTTTGACTTTCGGTTTTAAATAAGCTATTTAAAAGTTCCAGAGTCCCAGCAGAGTCACACGTTGATTAACCGGTGGGAATATACACAATAGGCCTACCTGATATTAAACACAAGAGGGCAGTATAGCGCTACGTATGACTCAGATTATTATTATTATTTTTTCTGAATTTTACAACTATTCTGGCTGTTTTTGAAAGTAAACATAATTCTTAAATGGAAAAAAGGGAAAAATTGGTTTAGTTATGATATTTGTATAATTTAATTTAGAAACAAATGATGTATAATTACATTTTTAGAATAAATTAGGCTTTTAGTGTTTACTTTTTTGACATTACTTTAATCTTTTGCCATAGTTGCACATGTCTACTGGCTAATAAATGTGAGGTATCTGTCGAGTTTCAAGCAATTTCAAGCATGCAAAGAGTCCCAAAAGCATCAAAAAAGAATGTTATAGTTTGATGCATTGCCACGGCAACAGTATCAAAGATATCAAGAATCCATTCACAGGTCTACATCTGCCGTGTATTTACATTATACAGATGAAGTTTGAAGCAAATCGGTTAAAAATAAGAGGGTGATTTCAAAGCATTTTGAAAGTGACACACTTCCTAGTTGGTGGCGCTATAACTTTGACTCACAAGTCACATCCATGTGATCGGCCTCTTACAGTGAACAAACTGCTGACGTTTCATCAAGATCAGTTAATGTATGCTGAAGTTATAACACACTTCCTGTTTCACGTTTCTCGCCATAATTTCATTTCCTCGCCACGGCCAAACCGTTCGAGATATCAAAAATCCCCACACAAGCTTTCATCCTCAATGTCTTGAATTCACGCTGACCGAGTTTTGTCGAATTTGGATCAGTGCTCTAGGAGGAGTATTTCAAATTCCATTGCGTGTGTTTTACAAAGAACCCTAAATAGCCGACTTCCTGTTTGGGCTGGGGTAAAAAGTTATAGTATGAAGTATATATGAAACGATGAGATCTATATGTGTACCGAGTTTCATATTATTACATGCAAGCGTGTTTGATTTATGGACCAAGTTTTCGGACCCCATTCAAGGGGGCGCTGTCAAGCCCCCCTGCCACGCCTGGGTACCATCTTCAGCCCGGCTCTGGTGGCCGCGAGTTCTAGCCCATGTGCAAAGTTTCAAGAGTTTTCGAGCATGTTAAGGGCCCCAAAAGTGCCCGAATAGTTGTAAGAAAAATAATAATAATAAATATAGCTGCGAGCAGCGATGACGGGCCCAAGCCGGTGGCACCGCAACCCCGGTTCCTTTTAAAGGCACCGGGGTGGCGGTGCCGCCGGCTTTGGCCCTTTCGTCGCTGCTCGCAGCTATATATATAAATAACAAATATATAAAAAAGCTTGTATATATATTTTATTTATATTTAAGGGACAAGACAGGATATTACTTGCCTGATCTGATTAGAACAATAATGTCTGGTTGTGTGAGGCGTGATTGAACAATGGAGACATAAAAACATACTGTACTCTGTCCTTTTGTTCATACAGGAAATTATTCAAACTGGATATATATATATATATATATATATATATATATATATATATATATATATATATATATATATATTTGTGTACACTTGCAATATAACACAACATTGTGCTTGTGTCAAACTATAAACTCTCGTCAAACTGCAACCTACAACTGTCAAGCAACCAAAATCTCTCTCTCTCAATCTCTCTCTCTCTCTCTGCCATCTTTAGGACATTCATCATGTCACATTGGTTTTAATTTCTTGTCCTCGAACAGAGCCCTAATCTGTTTATTTTTCAGTTACACATTCTACATTGATTAAAAAAGAAAAATCAAATGTGTTTTTATTTTATACAGAAACAAATTATTTATAATTCAGCTGAGAATAAAGTTAAGGTTAGTTCAAATTTTAAGAAAAACAAATATATGATCTGAAATATAGCACATTCATTTTAAATTCCTTCAGGTTCAATTACCAAAAATACAATCTTAATTTAATTTAAAGCAAATAATAAATCTAAAATATATGGGTTGTATGCATATTTTGTAAAAAAAAAAAAAAAAGTAGATATATATCCAGAAAGACAAGGCCTTAAACTTTAACAGGGGTGCAACTCTTATCACTGCAACAAATGTAGTCACACACACAAGACACATCACTTACATTTTAGATGCAATAGTGACTTTTTTCTGTTTCAGCAGCTATTAGACAAAGATCACAGCAAACCATCACGAATCTCAAATCAATGTGTTTTCTCATTACTGAATGATTCAGCATTTTGAACGAATGAAACCATGACTCGTTCATTAAGACGATCGCCTAGCGACACCTTATGGCGATTTAGGGTTATGTTTATTTTAGGGTTAAGTATCGTTCTTTACAATGGCAGCATGAAAATAGAGACTAGTAGGTTAAAATGATTAAATTTTAAAACGGCTTGCCATACTCTATCTGTCGTTTCGACTAGTCACAATTACGTTACAGATATCTTAAATGACAATACAAACTATCCAAAATGTAATTACGACTAGTCAGAAACACATTGTTGATATCTACAATGTTAATTCCGGATAGGCAAACTTAGCTTTTAAATGTTAATGGGGCTTGCCATACAGGGACATGGGCTCAGAGAGAAGCTCACCATATTCAAACCAAAATATATGACTTCCTCTTGGTCCGAGCTAATGACTATGAATTAGAAGTTGTCCGGCTTGAGGAGTACAATGTATATACCGATTTTTGTAACTGTAGATAAAAATAACAACCCCACTTTTGTCAAAAGGTGGCGCTATTTAGTTCCTGCACCACGCCCGTTTCTGAAACTTTGCACGTCTACTGGCTGAAAATGTGATGTGTCTGTTGAGTTTCATGCAATTTCAAGCATGCTAAGAGTCTCAAAAGCATCCTAAAATAATTTCAAAGTTTGATACGTTGCCACAGCGATCATCGCGATCATCTCGGGCTTCATTCACTCCGGCACCGAAACAGCAACATGGACCATGGATCACACAGCGGAAGACACGAGCCAGGACCAGAGCTGCCTCTCCGCCCCTCCCGGTCTTCGAGATCTCCACCCGGAACCACTTCTCCCCTCTTCGCGAGCCGGAACGCGACGACGCCGTGATCATCGGCACATCCATGGTCCGTCATGTCCGCGCTACTACTTCGGGGAAAGGTAAGGTGCGCACTCACTGCTTTCCTGGTGCTCGTGTTCTTGATGTCGCTGCACAGGTTCCCGAGATCTTGAATGGTGACGAGCGTGTCGGAGCTGTTGTGCTGCACGCGGGAGTGAACGACATCAGGCTGCGGCA